GCTGGGAAGTTATCATGGGGAAACTTCTCACCGGGAGGATCGGAGCCGCGCTCTCATGAATAGACAGGATGTGTGTGATGTTGTTTCTGGCTAACTGTTCTCTGTCTCTTGCGTCTGAGGAAAACGAACATAATCATTGTCAATACCATCAGAATACACAAATAAATAGAACAGAAAAAACTAAACTTATACACACCCTTAAAGTTTCCCAAGTACAAATCTTGGAGAACCTGTAAGGAGAGAAACCCGTAAACAATGGACAGCTGAACATTCTCAAACAGTAAATTTAATTCATATGACCCTGACAAAACTTAGTCTTTGTATAAACACGCAGTTTAAGACAAAACCGTAAATAAGAGAAACTTGATACTTGCGAGAAATGCAGCAAAAACACAAGAGCGCAACAACTGAAACAAGCACGTACCTTATTGACGCCGTTCCCCATGCTTTAACTCTGAGTCTCAGCACTAACAGGATCAAGAAATAACGCACAGTGTATCCTTCTTAGCTAAAGGTGCTTATTTTGCCTTTGAACTGCGTACAAATTCCGGTTTTCAATGAGAGTTGGCACCAGCCTGTCAGGCGATCAAGCGCCGCTGCCTGAGGAGCTCCTTCCCAGATTGAATCCTGGGAATTGTAGTTCAGACACGTGAAATGGCTCTGAAGACTTTGGAAAAGGAAAAGTGTTTGTGAACGTGTGGCACTAATAGATTAAGAAATTATATGTCAAATGACATATAATAATATAATAATAATAACCTTAATGTACATTAAGATCCAAAATTCTGAGATTAAAGTCATAAATCTGAGAAAAGTCAGAATTCTGAGATTAAAGTAGGAATTCTGAGAAAAAAGTCAGAATTCTGAGATTAAAGTCGGAATTCTGAGATTAAATTTAGAATTCCTAGAAAAAAGTCAGTATTCTGGCTTTTTTTTTTTTCCATATTAAACTGAAATAAAATTAAAAATTGTTTAACTTTTTTTTCTAGGGGCCCTAATCCTCTTCCATACTGAAATGTTGAAAGCAAAAAAATAGAGAAAAAAAATCTCAATAACTATGAACAAATAGGCTATATTCTGCAGTTTTCTTTATATTTTGCATAGACTTAGTGTTATATAGCTGCCATGTTTCTACAAAAATTCATTAATTCCCCAACAAGTATATCGATGAATTTCTTCTACCATATTCAATTCACTATCTAAACTCATTTATATTAGTCTGCTAGCATATTGTTCAGTTGGGGCCACATTTGTCATCAAGATACCCTTAAGATTGAGCAGCTGAGCTGAGTTATGTGTTTAGGAAATAGAAATTGTGGGAAACAACTTCTTAAAATCAAGTAATTGGAAAAACGAATGTGTCTTTGCTGTTATCTAACTTCTACATAAACATGAGTAACTAAAAGGTTGAATGGTTAGTTGGGGTGCTTTTACAATAGAAATCAACCTTATTGTCATTACATTGTCAAGTTCAGAGCAATGAAATTACATCTCTGCGTTTAACCCATCCCCTTGGGGAGCAGCGGGCTACCATTGTGCGGCGCCCAGGGAGCAGTGTGGGGTTAAGGGTCTTGCTCAGGAACCCAGAATGGAGGCTGTGGGGTTCAAACCTGGTACTTGCAACCTTCTCACTGCACAAGCGCATTGCTCTAACCGATTAGGCTAACAATCCCTCTCAGAATTTACATTAATAGGTGTCAGGGAATGGAGGTATGGCGATGATCCTGGGCTCTGATCAGTCACAACTCACCTAAAGTACAACCTTTCTCTTGCCAGGCAACATCATAAAACAAGTTGGGAAAGATTCATATAAATCACTCTGACAATATTGAGAACACTGGTCTTAAAATCAAACAACTTTACAATGCAAGGAAATCTGTCAATGTTTGTGTGCAACAACTTAATTTAACAGTTTCTTATTTTCTACACGCAGATCCAAACAAGATGTCAGCCATGTCCCTTAATTTATATATAGTCACAAAAAACCCAAAGCAACATCTGAAGCACTGTAGACATCAGTTGTCTCAGTTGATGTAAAACCAAAAAAGTTAAAGAAAACTAAAAAAAAAATTTCTAAAGTAGCCTGTTAGAAGTCTGAAGTCTTGTTTATTGTCATACATGACATAAACAAGGCCGCTCATGCTCAAAAACCTTCAAATCTGTCTAAATTACAAGAACTCTGCAAAGAAATATCCTCCACCAGGATGTAAGGCTTGCAGTTACTACCAAGACAAAGGTTTTTCCAAGGTTAAAGCCAGGTTTTCTGGTGTAAAGCACTTGTTTTCTGCATAAAAAACAAATTGGTTTGGGTCGCTTTTAAATAGGTAAAATCATCTGAAAACTGCCTTTATTTTTAAATCTATGGGGTTCATTTTATTGCTTATCTAAAAAATTTAGTTGTAATGAAAATAAATTTTAATAAGAAGAACTGTGTTAGGAGTGAATAATTTTTCACCTCTCTTTATTTTCCGTCAGCTTTAAAAGAGTTTGCTGCTTTTGCATTTGACACCATCCTGAAATGCTGCGACTAACCTCATGTTAGCAGAAAACCTCTCAGTCTGCAGACAGACACAGTGATGCCGGTAACAACTGCGTGGCTTTTACAGAGAAAAGATGGCATCTGGCTATGCTGTTCTGATTATTATCACCATTTAAAAAAAAACGTTTGCAGGAAGTGCTGCTACCCACTGCCCCACATTAAAATCAAGTGTACAATTCAGGCGCAGGCTGTTTCAACTTCCTGATGATTGGATGGTGAGAACTGATTAGACTAAAACTTGAATGACTAGAGGTGTATGTCAAGTGACATGAGGTGAAAGAAACTCAATGTGCAAATTTGGAGCAACAGGTTATTAGAAAACCATAGCAGTTGCTACTAAAATACTTTTTTTCTGAAATTAATTCATTCTAGTTTTCCAATGATATGTTTGTGTGTATGGCGGACAAGTTAGCTTAAATCTAATGCGAGCATCCAGGCAGAGACCACATCTGCCTTTTGGGGTCTTTGTTATTCAACAAACTTTTAAAAGCATAGATTAGATTGCATTAATGCAATCAGACTGGCATTTTGCTGATGTAACTGTCAGTAAAAGAGCTCAGTTACTTGTTTTGTATAGGTGGGAAAATTCCTAAATAGCCTACAGATTACCAGCAATAACTGCGAACAACAGAAAAAAAAAAGAAAAACACATAAGCCACTAAACTGACACAACACAAGACAGGTAAATACGATACTGCTTTGTTGTGGCTTTGGTGTGCAAAAAGAAGGAATTTATAGAGTGGGTGTTCGCAGATAGGCAGCCAAAATGTAGGCCTGCATTTCAAACTTCGCCCACACTGCTAGAGCGTACTACCCAGGTGGTTCCCCGTTCTAGTTTCACATAAATGTTTGTTTTATCAATGAGCTGGATTTTTTTTTTTTTTTTTTACATACATGAGCAGATTTAATATTCTATATGTGCTGGAATATAAAATAGTTATGTTGTACTGGCCACACATATAAAAATCATAGGCTAAAAGCTTCATTTAGGCTTTTTAAGATAGTTTGGCAAGGTAGCCAGTAATAAATGTGTATTACTGTCTAATACTACAGCAACTTTCAAGGGAAAAAATTCTAGTCCCAAAAGTCAAGTTCATTAATTCACCACAAGGGGGCAACAAAGTCTCACAAAAACTCTGTTGGAGCTTTCTAAAGTCATTGGTTTAAATAGTATTAAAATGGGCTGATTAAAGTGACAGTTGTATTGTTGTTGGTGCCAGAACCTTTGAAAAGTCGTGAGTTCATAAGGAATTAATAAAAACAATGCGATGTGCAATGAGTTTCAGGTGTGTTGGAAAGTAATGCTTTCAGGTAGTTTTAAGTTTTAACATTTTATTAAGTGAACAAAACATACAATATTTTTACATTTGAAAACCCACTGATCAAGATTATTGTATAATGTCCTATACACTCTGTTATGTAGTCAGGTTATGTATAATATTCTCCTTTTAAAAACAGTCATATTGCTTCTTTATAAGTGATATTGCTGTTCTTAACACATCTAAAAATCTTTGCAAACAGGTTGTGTTTTAAATCTTCCAGAAGAACAATGCTTCATTTTACATCAGGGTAGCAAATGAATAAAAAAGAAGAAATCTATTCATTCATCTATTGTCTATTACTAATCCTTGCAGGTATGCAGAGGGCTTGGTGCCTGTCTCCAGTCACTGGGAGAGGTTGCCGATCTACCCCAAGGTAACATGAGCAAATGCAGAACAAACAACCACACATGGAAAAACTCATAATTTAGGGTTGCATATGGATTAGAATGACCACAATGTATTCATCTAATACATTGGTCTCCAACCCTGGTCCTCAAGATCTACTGTCCTACAGATTTTAGATGCATCCCTGCTTCAACACAGCTGAATCAAATGATTATTTACCTTTTCAAGCCATTCATTTAATTAAGCTCTGTTGAAGCAGGGATGCATCTAAAATCTGTAGGACAGTAGATCTTGAGGACCAGGGTTGGAGACCACTGATCTAATACATCTAATGTATTTTTGAAACATTATAGGAAATTGGAATAACTGGAAGAGAGGCCATGCATTCAACTCTGTGTAGATAGACAAAAGGCCAGAATTAGAACACAACCAGCAAAACACCATTTTTCACAATGCAGCCGTAAATTAAATACAATTTTGTGATGAGGACTCCAGCTTTACTTCTTCTTATTGTACATTATGCCCAAACAGGACATAAACTTTAAAGTTTCGTTACTCATTTGTTTATCCTTTAGGGTGTGTCATTATTTGCTGTCCAGCCCTACTTACAATTTGCCTTCTACCTGTTTTTAGAGCCATGGTTAAAGAAATATATCCTCTTTAATCAAACCTGGCCCCTAAGAGGAGTATTATATATATATAGGCTACCTTTTATCTTATCATTCCTTCCTCCTTGTTATTCTTTTTACATCTATCCTGTCAAAATGGATCTCTGCTTCAACCGATCTGACTTCCAAAGGAGATAAAATTAAACACTGGAATTGATATGTTAGACTATGGGTTGAAAAAATAGATCTATAATTAATGGAGAGGTATATGCATTTATTACCTTCACCAACCTATAGGTAGCAACCCAGCCTTTTTACAAATAAATAAGGGATGTGTATCCCTGTATCAGTGTATCAATCAATAAGAAGATTTCTTTGGTTTTCAAAACTGAACTGTATTAAATCCAGTGCTTTGAAATACGTTTAGTTGTTTCTGGGTTAAAGTAAGATAGATTTACAGTGGATTATTTTTTTTAATGCCCTTCATTTGCTGTTCTGCAAATCAATTATTATAATAAATTTGCTTATCTGCACAATATGGTTTCTTTTTCATCTGTGACTAAAATATAAATCAAATTTAAATAAATTCTTTGACAGTGTGATTAGCATATGATTTCTATTTTTGTCAAAAATATATAATAAATTAAGTATACTATTGTGCAGATAAAGGGCCTAATGAAAAATTTCAATTAAGTCCGTAAGTCGTTATACGACGGGGGAAAAAACATTCTTCCAAGCTTGTTTGTGTGCCTTCTCAGGCGAATTTGCCACTCGCAATATGGCGGAAAGGCAGACATAGACTCGG